AGTGATGAGTTAGTGTTAACTTAATGATGAGTTAGTGATGAGTTAGTGTTAACTTAATGATGAGTTAGTGATGAGTTAGTGTTAACTTAATGATGGGTTAGTGATGAGTGTGTCCTGCAGGCCGTCGTCTCCGCTGTCAGACCTCCTGTCTCACCAGTACGGACGCAGCTGGTTGGACGAGCAGCTGAACAGGAAGCAGAGCAGCATCACACACCAGGTGAGAACACACCTGTCTGTAGTGACGTGTCTTCATCAGCTGGTGGTTTGATGAAGACACGTCGTCTCTGAGGACGACAGTCCAAACATGTCCAGATAGAAACAGCTCCTGTCTAACAGAAGCTCCACACCGGAGATCAGAGCCGACCACATGAACCCAATCACGCTGTGACTGTGTGCAGGTCCAACCACGAGGAGCTGCTGAAACCAGAACCAGCCTGCTGAGGAGGAGCCAAGCTTTACCTGTCACACACACACCTGCACACCTGTCTCACTTCACACAGGTAACACACCTGGACACAGACAACAACACACACACACACATGTGAACACAGGTGACAGCACAGGTGAGCTTTGCTCTGTGTGCAGGTATCTCCGGCTCTGGACACCTTCAGAGAACCTGCGGCTCGTGTTCGGGCCTTCAGGCTGAGCGGTGGAACCGGGCGTCCAGGAGAACCTCAGGGGACTGTCGGGACAGAACCGAGGGCAGAAGAACCTCTGAAGACAAATAAACAGTGAAACTGTCTGTGTGTCTCTGTGACGTTCTTGCAGAAACATGTTGTCAGTGTCAGAGGTTCCTCAGGGTTCTACATGGGAACCTTTACTGTTCTACACTTCTTTATTCATGGGATGGTTCTTCATGTGCTTTATGTGGTTCATTAAAAGGTTCTTCAGCTGCAACTCCCAATCATCTTCTGTTTATAATTCATCTGCAGATTATTTTCTTCACTCATCTTCAGGAAACAGAAACGTTCTTCACAGTCTCCCAGATTTGAAGCTGACGTCTTAGAACATGTTCTTCTGTCCGACCGAGAGCCGAAAATATTACATGAACTCTAACAGGAGGAGCCCAGACATGCTGCAGGTTCTTACATCTGACTGCAGCCAACACGTCCAGAACCACCCAGAAACACTTTGTGGTTCTCAAAGGTCTCATGTTGCAGCGGTTCTGGAGCATCATTGGTGCCTAAAGGGGGTTCTATGAAGAACAGGCGTGTTGCTCTCTGCAGCTCTGCCGCCTTTGTTTATACATCATTCAGCAACAGACGATGATGTCAGAGCCACGAAGGTACTTGAGTAGAAGTACTTAGTTACTTTGTGCTGAATTCAGGTCAGAATGAAAGAATCGTCAGAGACAGACCGAGAGAGAGAGAGAGAGAGAGAGAGGAGGAGACGGATGGAGATGATGGAGGTGATGAAGAGGAGGAGGAGCAGGCTTCATGTGTTCCTGTCTGCCTGGAATCAGCAGCTGATCGATCCGGATCAATAACTTCACACTGATTTTTATTTTATCCACTTTTAAGTGGTAGCAGTGACATCACAGCCCGGTACCGCCGTCATGCTGTCGTCACATGTCCGGGTGTCAACTTTCCTCTCACCTGCCGCCTGAACCAACTCACCTGAGTCCGGACGGAGATGGAGGTGTCCGCCTCCGGCTGCTTCTGCATCGACTCCCTGCTGTCCCTCAGGCCGCCCGCAGCGCTCCTCCCCCGGTCACATCCTCCGGAGCTCAGCCCGGCGGGCAGCAGCGGCTGCTCGGAGCCTCCTTCCCCGCGGAGAGAGCCCGCTGCCCGGCCGGAGGCTCCGCTGCAGCCCCGCTCCGTCAGCTCCTCCTTCCTGATCCGGGACATCTTAGCGGACTGTCGGTCCTACCCGGCACCGCTGTGTTCTGACCCGGGTCGGGTGTGTTCTGACCCGGGTGAGCCGGAGCTGGAGGTCGAACCGGTCCAGTCCGGAGCGGATGAAAGTCGGAGCAGCGCTTCTTCTGACAGCGAAGCCAGAGGTGAGAACAAAGTGGTGCTGAGTTCGGAGAAGGTCCAAACAGAACCGCTCATTTCTGCAAAACTCAGGAAACAAACCTCGGATCGGAACCGGTTCCAGTTTCATTTCTCCACAAAACTGATTCTACAGTTAATGAAGCCGAAAAGCTTCAAACTCATGTGGAGGGAAAACGTTTGTTCAGCCGGTTGGTTCTGAGGTTCGGGATCCGTTCAGACGTTTTTACGGTTGAATCTGAAGGAAACGAGTTGATTGATTGATTGATTGATTGATTGATTCTTTAGTTTTCTCTGAATTACAAACAAATTATTTTTCATTTCTGCTGCTTTGATGTTTTTAATTAAAACAAAACAAACAAGAAAAAAACAAAAAACAAAAACAAACCCTAATTAGGCACAAAGAACTCGGAGCTTCTCATCAATTATTGATCATAAAAGTCTGAGCGATCAGAGATCAATCCAGGAGATTCTGGACGGATCCAGTGGTCCAGTCCTGGCGCTGGACGGCTTCACGCGTTTTCATGCTGAGACACGAACTGAAGAAAACTCAGAAAGTGTTTTTAAATATTGTTTCGATATTTGATTTATTGAACAATGAGCCGTGACGTCAGATGTATCGATCCTGTAGAGAGACGGGATCATGATCGATGATCTGCTTTAACGAGGATAGAACCGGGTCGTGGTTCTTCCGTCAGAACCTGTCAGATATTAGAGTGCAGTGATCGATGAGCTGCTGATCGATCACAGTTATAGACAACCTGAAGCAGCGCCACAGGGTTAGGGTTCTGACTCCAGTCTTTGTTCCCGCGAAAAACACCCGGTCACCGGAAACCCGCAGCACAAACAACAACAACAACAACAACAACAACAACAGTCATTATCATCACCAGTGTGTGTAAAGCAGCTCTGCAGTCAGAACCAGCCCCATTACTGGACCGTCAGAACACACTGAGGTCATGTCATGTCTGCCTGTCCATCACTCAGGTCTCTGTGGCGGTTCTGACCCGGTTCGGCTCAAGAAGCCTCGGAAGGCCCGGACCGCCTTCAGCGACCAGCAGCTGTCCAGACTGGAGAGAAGCTTCCAGAAGCAGAAGTACCTGAGTGTCCAGGACCGGATGGAGCTGGCGGCTTCGCTGCAGCTCAGTGACACGCAGGTCAAGACCTGGTACCAGAACCGCAGGTAAACCAACCAGAACTACAGCTAGAGCAACCAGAACCACAGGTAGACCAACCAGAACCACGGG